GAGTAAACTGTTTCTGTATATTTATTTTGATCATGGATTATTCGTTGTATGCTCACATGCTGTAAACTTCATTCTATTTTCCTTCATTATATTATGAATATAATGAAGCTTATAGCGTGTAAGCACCAGAACCGAACGCAACCAGAATATACAGCATTGATTCTGGACAAGTTGTTATTCACAAATGTTACAATCTCAAGAAAAGTGTCGAAATGAATAAATATAAAGTGTTTTCATGCGATTGATGATCTTTATGATGAACATTTCAATATATAAATATCGATATACGAAATCGATATTTACGTAGCATAAAAAATAATTACACTTGCAACAACTTTTCAGTACCTATACGGAATTCTTGTAGGGAGAACTTGTGATGTCCAAAATATATCACATAATCATAAATTATAAAATATAACCACTCTTATTTTATATGTAGAACTGATTCAAAAATAAAATAAATTGAAAATATTTGGATATACTACATCTAAAGATATATACAATTTTTGCTTTGAAAAGCAAAGATAAAAGGTGAAATGATTACAAAGTAATATTAATAATAATTTCTCTTCATATAGAAAAGATAATTTATATTTCTTTTTGTTATTTTTTTCGCGCGTTTAATAAAGTATAGCTCAAACGCATCTGCTTTCTCACGTCTCTACATTTTTTAATCGTTTTTGTTGCAGAAAACCGCCACTTCATTCTTTGACAACTTTCAAGCTGCTTATTAAACTTTTACGAGCAAATTATAAAAGTATCAAAGGGAATTTTATTACTCCGAGATGATTCGACCAATGAAGGAATGACAGGTCGGGTAAGCTTATATAGACACGGCGCGGTGCAGCGCCTAATATAATTCTTGCTGCGCAGGCGCGCAGCTTTCTTCTGCGCCGGCTTCCTGCACTAACAAATTCAAATCGACAAAGTCGTTACTTGCGAGAGTTGAAACAGACTTGATCTCCTGTAGCGACTTACTTCTCAAAGGAAGGGACAGAGATTTGTGTCTGCAACGGAAACAAGGGCCTCTCTGCGCGATTGTGACTGACTATGGCGACAAGAAATCGGACCGTTATCACGGTGAGCACGAGATTACAATTTGTAAGCGCGGAAAAATCTTTCCTATTGATAATGGACGGGTATCAACGGTCCAACAGTTGTCCTAACGCCTGACATCTTTAAATGCCCCCTCGCACGCTTAAATGCCACCTCGATTGTGACCTCGAGATTTCAATACCAGTCATCTCTTAATCTCCCAATAATTTTGGATCTTATGAAAATTCCTCAAAGATAATTTTTGTTGAAATAAATCTAGCAGAATAATACGTGAAAGTTTCTCTCTTGTCAATATTATAAAATTTTTACATATATGAAATAGAAGGCGTTTAGACATAATATTAGCGTCATATTAGCATTCGACGACGACATATAAATTGTTTATAACTAAAGATATTACTCATTCAGTACAAAGGGACTATTGGAGATTAAAGATAAGAGATTAAAGACATCCCTATGTTCTGAAGATGTTCCATACAGCATTTTTTTTTCTTGGATGTTCCTGGAATAAAATACGCTTTATGGATAATATCTTTATTTAATTTATAAACATTATGTAAATGTAAGAATTATGTGTAGCTTGAATTTGCACCATTGTCCCATAACTTTATCAGACTGTTCCATGCTGCTTATACATGCTGCTTCATTAATATTTTAATGTATAATATCAAGAGGAAAAATTTCAATAAGAATATATATTGCTTTTTCTATTTAAAAACACAAAACTTATCCAATAAACAATAACATAACTGTAACATAATTTTGTTATAATTTTTCACTGATTTTCCTATTCAACAATATAATTGTATTATATTGTTGAATAGGAAATTATAACTAATAGTATATAACTAATAGTATATAATTATCAAAGTCATTAGACATATCTAGGTAGAATATCATATTCTTTTAAATTTTATCTTTAAAATTTTGTTTTGTACATGTGATTGTTTCAGAACCATGTAAACCAGGAAAATATCAAAAGTATAAAACCTTCGGTGGTTGTTGTACCATCGAAAGGAAAAAGAGCTGTACTAGGTGAAATAAGTAATAGAGTTAACACGTTGAGAGGTGTTGAGCCCATTGATAGGGTTAGTTTATTACAAAGAAAGAAAGTGCCAGTATCGAAGCGGCAAGCTGTGAAGCCAAATATAAATCCACCTGAAAAGCCACCAGTGCAAATCGTAAAACCAATTGTAAAAACAACATCATCTTCCAATGTAAATAATGCTTGCAACATAGTCAATGTACCAGCTGCTCTTGTTAGTCAAAAGAGAGAAGAGAGGAATTCGTTTTCAACGGATTTATTAAAATTTGAAGATATTGACGAGCAAGACAAGAATAATCCTATTCTAGTTTCTCTCTATACTAATGACATACATGAATATTTAAGGACGTTAGAAATCAAATTTACTATTAAAAAGGGATATCTAGCGGGCCAGGAAATCACCTCTAAGATGAGATGCGTATTGGTAGATTGGTTGGTAGAAGTACATCAACAATTTCGATTGATGCAAGAGACGCTGTATCTCACCATTGCAATTATCGATCGTTTCTTACAAGTAAGATAAATAATATGTCATAATAAAAGTAAATATCTTTTACAAAGAAATTATATGCATACATTTAAATGATTATATGTATATTTTGTTCTTCTAGTTGTTTCGATCTATAGATAGGAAGAGATTACAGCTGGTAGGTGTAACAGCTATGTTTATCGCTAGCAAGTATGAAGAAATGTATTCGCCAGATATAAGTGATTTTGTATATATCACAGACAAAGCATATTCAAAGATGGATATATTGGATATGGAAATGCTTATTGTGAGAACTTTGGACTATTCGTTCGGGCGACCATTACCGCTGCATTTTCTTCGAAGATATAGCAAAGCTGGAAAGGTATGATATATATATATAAATATACGAAAATTTTTATCTTTATTGTCTCGTTTATATTATTTATAACTAACACTGTAATTTTATAAATAAAGTCTAAATGATTTTTAAGGCGCTCCCTGTACATCACACGATGGCTAAATATTTTCTCGAGGAAAGCTTGGTTTATTATGAAATGTGTCATTATCCACCTAGTCTCATCGCTGCAGCAGCGATATACCTAGCATTTTTGTAAGTAATTAAATCATCTTATGCTATACATTTCTCTAACATCTTTGATTAATGTTTGTTCATTAGAATTATCGGTAATGATGAAGAAGACGAAGGCAAGGTTATTTGGTCAGATACTCTTGCATACTATAGTACTTACTCCAAGGACGATGTGTTACCTGCAGTATATGATATAGCTGCCATAATAACTAATGCAGAAAACAGTAAATATCAAGCTGTAAGGAAGAAGTACGTTCATGTGAAACACATGAAAATTAGTATTCGACCAGAACTTAAGTCGCCAATTATGCTTTCCATTGCAGGAAAAAGCAATAAGTCATAAATTTGTAATAAAACAATAGAATTTGTGAACTCGCTATTTCGAGATATTTTCAATAAGATGTTTGTTACATTAAACGTATCGATGAATATGACTATGGACATTATAGTTCATGGAACATCGAAAAATAAGTTAAGGTAAATAGAGGATAAAGTAAAGCTTTATCACAAAGTGATGAATGTATGCGTTAAACATTTCATGTACAAGTTTCTTATTGAAAAATCTATTCTGATTTAGTCACGTACGAAAACAAAAAGACGTATTTAGAGTTTTATATACAAATGTTTGTTACTATAAGTAAAAATTTAGTCGGGTAATACTGATGGACTTTATTTTGGACTGCCGTAGTAAAACTAATTATAGCGGAAAACATAAAACGCATCTTTTATAATGAAATATTAAATAAAGCTTTTAGTTTTTATTCCTAGCTGATTATAATAATATTTTAATTTTGATATAAGTCCTACAAAGATACTTTTGATGTCATCATATGAAAATATGTGAGTATTCTAAGACATATTTCATTTTTTTCTTATACTTTTATATCCATATTTTCTCAAATGTCTATCTTAAATAGTATAAGAGTTTATCGTTAAGTCTTTCGATTGTTAATTTTGGAATATAAATTGGATACAATTTGTGTACGAAAGTGAGGCGTAATCATTTTTGAAGATACCATATATCACTTAGGAAATTTTTATCAATATAGTGATAAAAAAATGTTCTTTGATTTTACATTTTATATTACTATATCCTATAATATGTATATAAAATAATTAGTATATAGGTATTTGCGCATGCCTGAAGCAACATAAAATTTTATATTGTTAAGCAATCCAAATTTTAATGCTCCCAAATTTAGATGTTTAATATATACATGACTCTACTTTAAGATCGAATACAAGTGGCTATTTAGGCCTTATTAGTTGCAAATTTAATTATAATAATAATATAGATTAAATTACTAACTCTATATACACATACCTTTGTAAATAAAAGGCTAAATTACTATAATTTATCTGTAATGCATTAATTTCTTATATTTATTATGTAATAGTAAAATTTTTTTCTCACATTCATACATTAATGCAACATTTAAAAAATATTAATTTATTTTTGAAAAGTTTTTAAAAAATGTTTAGCACGCGTGGTGGTTTATCAGCCTCAGGTGGAAACATTATATAGCGTTCTAAAAAAGTATTAAAGGTCAAATGAATGCTCAATCTATTAAGAATTGAAATCTATTGTATTTTGTGAGTACTTACCCATTAATTTAATGGGTGCAATAATTTCTTGAAGTTGTGCTTGTGTATGAATTGCACTTTTTTCCTACAAATAAATCAAAAAATGTAAAATGTAATATTTGGAAATCCTTGGAATATTTTTTATTTGTATTAATTACTTACTATATCAGCTAAACTTGTAGGAGCTGATCTGTCCCAAATTTCAGATTTACTATTTTCCACTAATTCAAAGAACTCCTTTTCCTCTGCTAAGATTTTTACTGCACTTTCATCAAATTCGAATCGTATTAGCACTTGCACCAATTGATACCATTCGTCTGATGAAACATTATTTTTATTATAATTAAAATATATATATTAAAAATAAATAGCATGCATATATTATTTATTTTTTATATATTTGAAAAATAAAATTATTTTAATTATATTTAATTAAAGAGCTTCTCTGGGAATTTTATTTATATATAATAATGTAATAATACAAATTTATATTACTTCTATAAACAAACCTCTATCTTTGTATGCATTACTAATAATTTGATAAAGGGCATGTATTAAACCTAAATCTTCAAACATACTGCCGTGCTTTAAATTTAAAAGTTTTCTTGCTTGTTTTCTACGGTTCTTACTTGATCGATAGCTTTTGCTGAAAAACACATTTTTTA